CCCCGCCCGGCCCCTCTGCCCCCCGGGGCCCTGCCAGCTTGCACATGTGGACACATCTGTCACACCTGTGCCTGCACCCCCGCACATATCCCCTACCTTGCACACACACTCTGTTCACACTCAGTGTAACAACCCCCAAGCACGCCCCCACGCACACTCACCCACCCTGTGCATGCCCCCTTGCACACTTACCCCATGCCAGCCCCTTTGCACGCTTCACTTGTGCCCAACCCCTCACCCACTCACCGTGCAAAGCCCCTTGCACGCTTTACATGACGACTCCCCACTTGCAGTCATGTAAAGCCTATTGCACACTCACCCGGCACACACCCTTGCACACTCACCGTGCCAACTCCTTTACATACTCTGGCAGCACACACACCCTTGCGCACACACCCGGCACAGCCCGTTGCACCCGCTTGCACGCTCCCCCTATGCGCACTCCTTTGCACGCTTGCCCCGTGCACGCCCCTTACATATTCAACCTGTGCACACGCCCTTGCACACTAACCGCGCAAAGCCCCTTGCACACCCGCCCCGTGCACACCCCTCTTGCACCCTCACCCTATGCACCCACGTGCGCCTGCACCCGCAGGACCCCACTCGCCCCTGCACTCCGGACCACTTCCGGATGCCGCTGCCACGGCAACCGGGGAGGCCCCTGCGGAATGCCGGCTTCTGATTGGTCGGCGTGCTGTGCGGGCTGACGTCTGACTCGCAGCCCCGCCCAAGAGAGCGGGAGGAAGGGAAGCGAGTGCTGCCCGCCATCTTGAGGAGGTCGAACTGACGCACGGAGGGCGCCGCCATCGTGGGAAGGGAGCACGATGGCCGGGTGCAGCGCCACCTTGGGTGTGGCAAAGCAGCATTGGCCGCAATCGAACGCCGCCATCTTGGGTGGGTCACAGGCCCGGGGGAGGGGCCCCGCCGCCATATTGAGTGTGGCAGAGCCCAGGGGCAGCTATCCCAGGGGGCCACCGTGCATGACCGTCCTCATGGGGGTGCCACAGCTCCACCGCAGCCACCCCAGAGTACCAGCACGGTCACCTTTAGGGTGCCACAGCACCATGGCAGCCACCCGGGGGTGCCACAGCTCCAGGGTGGCCGTTTTGCAGGGTGCCACGGCCCCTCACTGCACACCTGGGGCAGGCCACGGCCCCGGGGAGACTTGTTCCAGCAACAGCCTTGCTGGCAGCCCGAGGGGCCCTGCCAACGCCCTGAGGGCCACGGATGGGCCCTACTTCCTCCTCCCTTGTGCCCCAGCGGCACAGGCACGAGGGGCACGGGCCCAGGCAGATGGGTCTGCACGTAGCGCCCTCGCTCTGCGGCCTAGCAGCCCCATGGGCCTCCATCACTGCCTTGGAGAGGGGTCCGGGCCAGATCTGGGGCTGTCAGTAAATGAACAGCCCAGCCACAGCACCAGGCTTGTTAGGATGCCACCCCCACCCCCAGCGCTCATTAAACGCAGCTAACGGGGTCCCTGCCCCAAGCTCCACAGCAGCCATGGAGAGCACAGGTCCCACTGCCCCCCGGCA